AAAAAAAAAAAAAAAAAAAAAAAAAAAAAAAAAAAAAAAAAAAAAAAAAAAAAAAAAAAAAAGTTAATTCCTTTATTTTTGGTGTCTCTCCTCCTATTTGATGTGATTCTCCACTATTTATCTCTCCCAAACAAAACCCCATCAACCTTTACAAAAGAGAAAGAAAACCCAGAAAAACGCCATGAATTTTTCATCCATTCCTGCTTATCTTCATCCTTCTAATTGGCAACAGGTAACCCTTTTCTTTCTTTTTTTCAAATATTAAAATAAAACATTAATATTCTTCACATATTTGATTTCATTCCCTTACTCTTTTCTTTGCTCAGCAAGTTTCCCATCAACTTGGAACTACTACTACTACTACTACTACTACCTCTGCACCCACTTCTCAGCTTCCTCCTCCTCCTCCTCCTCCACCACCTCATGGCGGTTCCATCCGGCCCGGTTCCATGGCGGAGCGAGCTCGATTGGCTAATATTCCCATGCCTGATGCTACATTGAAGTGCCCAAGATGTGAATCAACCAACACTAAGTTTTGTTACTTCAACAATTATAGCCTAACTCAGCCTCGCCACTTTTGCAAGACTTGCCGACGCTACTGGACGAGAGGTGGCGCTCTGAGGAACGTCCCGGTCGGGGGCGGTTGTCGGAGGAATAAAAGAAGTAAAGGGAGAAATTCTAAATCGCCGCCGGTTAGTTCTGACCGGCAACAACAAACTAGCGGTTCAGCTAATTCCTCATCAAGTGCAATAGCTTCCAATAATAATAGTGGACTTTCCCCACAGATCCCACCACTCCGCTTCATGGCTCCTCTCCACCACCACCAACAACTCACTGACTTCGACATCGGCGGCTTCAACTACGGCGGCGGCGGCGGCGTACTCTCAGCTCCTGCCACCGCCGCCGCCGCCGCCGGCGACCTGAGTTTCCAATTGGGTAACACTAATTTAGCTGGAGGAACAAGTATAGGATCTCTCTTGGGATTTGACCAACAATGGCGGCTCCAACAACAAGCTCCCCAATTTCCCTTCTTGTCGAGCCTCGACCCTTTCGACGGCGGTAGTAGCGGCGGCGGCGATGGGTCGGGGTGGCAAATGAGGCCAAAATTACCCTCAGGATCAAGGAATTTAACCCAAATGGGAAATTCAGTGAAAATGGAAGGAACCCCAAATCATGAAGCTAACATTGGAAGGCAATTTGTTGGGAATGAACAATATTGGAGCGGTGGATCAATGGCTTGGTCGGATCTTTCTGGCTTCAGTTCTTCATCTTCAACAAGAAACCCATTATAGAAACGTTGTTTAGTTCTTCATGTGTGCCATCATCATCAGCCAAAACCCTAGAACAATATGGTGCTTCTTTTTTTTCTTTTAAAAATCATATCTTTTTTGTTTTGTTTAGTTTTAGTAGTTAGGATTGAAGTTGGGGATGAGAAATGATATCATTTTATTACCATATGAATAGATTATGTTTGTTTGTTCCTTAATCTTTGATATCAATTTCTCAAAATGCATGCTAGCACGACTTGTTTTCTCTAGTCATCGTCTTATAATCGCTAGATTTAAGGATACTATGATATCCCGTATTGGTTGGGAAGGAGAACGAAACACCCTTTATAAGAGTGTTGAAACTTTTACCTAGCAGATGCGTTTTAAAGCCTAAAAGAAAAGGTCCAAAAAAGACAATATCTACTAGTGGTGGGCCTAGGTCGTTACAGATACCTACATAAATATATTATAATACGACAACATGAACACCGAAACGTGTTCTTCGTTCTATTTTATATGTGGGATTATGTGAGATCTCACCTCGGCTGGAGAGAGGAACGAAACATTGTTTATAAGGGTGTGAAAACCTCTCCTTAGTAGACGCGTTTTAAAATCGTAAGATTGACAGAAGTAAAAGCTATTTTGGAAGCTTTTATTTGTTTACAACATTCCCATAAAGGCTCTATGGTTTTTCTTCATCGTAGACAAAGGGTTTGTAGTAAAACAAAGGCAAGTCTTTTTTATTTTTTTGGGCACTTTTCATTTCTCTTGTCATTTTTCAACCTATTTCCGAACTTATTTTCTTAATCTTTTTCGTACATCGAAGAGAATCGTTATGTGAATTAAAACGACGTATTTCAATTAGGGTTTCAGCCTAAACCATGCGCAAACACTCGAACATGAGAGCAAGGAATCATCCAAGAAATGGACGAGCTCCGAGGAAAAAGACAAGAACCATGCTTTTAGAGACCTACCCTAACTCCCGAGAGATGAACATTAGTTATCCCTAAGAGGGAAAGCATTTAGTTAAAGCAATCTCCAAACTTCACTTAGAGTGAACACAAAGGTAAAAAGTACAAAAAACGGTGCGTTTTAGTCATGGGTTAGTACTTGCTATTACAACAACCAAAATTAGAGAGCATGACTTACAGCTCCATACCTATGTTGCTTGTTTTGGTGATTACTTCTAACTCACCAAATTTTAATTCTCGAAAGAGTTGGTGAACGTAATCTTAGATTTGACAAACTTCGTTCGAGTTTAGAAATCTCGATCCATCTTAGCATCAAATTGAGGCTTAGACTTAGCATGATTCGCGTGTTTGTTCATTAGCGTTTGATCCATTCATGTATATAAATGTTATTAGTTTGGTTCCCGAGATTGTCGATATTGACCCAAAAGCCGACCCGCTCATACCCGCAATCATTATGACATAAGATTTTGGAATTAAAAATAGATAAGAATTTATAAATATAATTCTCAAATTTGGTAGTCATTGTCCCAATAATTTGGCTTGCATCAATTCCAATGAAACGGTGTGTATTAATTGGCTTAGTGCCAACCCAAATGATTAGCAACTCTAACTAAAGTACATTTTCTTATTAGAAATTAAAATTTTTAATTTTTTAAAATTAAATTTATCAATATTTTTTTATTTTATACAAAATAATTATCAATTATACACATAGAAAATAGGAAAAAAGGAGAAATAAATAAGAAAATGAATTATTTTTTTATTCTTAAAAAAAAAAAATTAGGAATTTAGTCATCAAAATGAAACCCCACGCGCTCTCCGCAAAAGTGTGAGTAAGAAAAGAGAACAACACGCGCTTGAGAGGTGTAGTTAGATCACGCATCACAAGACGACAAATCTCTGTTTTGTCAGTATTCCAGTGGGCCCAGTTTTACTCCCATGTTTGAATTGCACGCACTTTTCGACTGCGTGAAATTGCACATTTTTACAGAAACTTACAAAAATGGCCCCCCGTATTTTTCTCCACATCCTAATTTCCTCAATTATTACATAAAATCCCCTAAACTCTCTCAAATTACACAAAGTACACAGTACCACTCCCCTGCACGGACCCCGTCTCAACATTCCATCTTTTTATTTCCATTTCCATTTTTATTTATTTATAAAAAAAATTTAAAAATAATAATAAATAGTACCATTTTTATTAATTTTTGTGGGAATAAATAGTACAATTTTTTTAATTTTTAATTTTTATTTTTGTGCATTACTTAAAAAAGGTAGTAGTCAAAAGCCAGCATTGAGTTTAAAGCTGAATCTAAGCTGCTTTCTTTTTTAGTTTTTACTGTTCTTTTTTTTATTATTAATTTTATATTAATTTTTCAAAAAAATTATATTGTTTATTTTTATTAATTAAATTAATTTATTTTTCACATGCATCCACTGGTCGATTAACACTAATAAACAAATACATACCGATGATTTATAATTTTTCTTTATTTTAGCTAAATTAAACTTTAAGTGAAAATAAAATTTTTGAATATTTAACTTTTTTTATCTTTAGATGTCGGTCTTATAAATACAATATAACTATATTTATTTATTTAACAATTTTTTTTTAAGCAAATTAATTTTTAAGCGAGGATTAAAATTTTGAATATTTAACTTTTTAGTCTATAATTTATACGAAATGTTGGAGGTAGCCATGCAAAAAAGCTGAAAATATCTTTTATTTTTAGGGGTCGTATTGTAAATATAATATAAATATATTTATTTAAAAATAAATGAAGAAAAAAAGAGGAATCTTGGAGGGGTGTTTGGATTTAGCTTTTGCAACAATCGAGGGTTCTTACTAACAACGAATAAAGCTCTCTCATTCAACCAACACACTCTGGAAAACTAACTTTTTTTTTTTTTAATTTTTTTTCCTCTTTTTTTTTTCGAACAGTTTTACGAGAAAATCTCGTGGTTGGTCGGTTGGTAGAGGAGACGAAATTAATTAAAATTAAAAATCGAACATCTCATAATTATATCTTCGAAACAAACATTGATTTAGTGAGCGTCCAAATGGAGGAAAAGTATCGGAGAAATGGCTCGAAATTCTAAGCAAAATCTTAACGTTACCTTACTCACACTTTGATGTATGTTCGTGTCGTATTTCTTTTTTTAAAGGAGTGATTGGGGAGCGGGTTAGATATCTCGAGTTTGGAAATGTTAAGCTCGAGATTTAGTTTCTAGAAGTTTACAAGGTTTGGATTCTTGATTGTAGGTTTACGAGACATTAGTGAAATAATGTGACTAATCTATTTTATTCGAAGAGGATGATGGGTTTAGGGTACAGTTCGAAAACGGTTAAATCCAAAATTGACAGGTCAGTGTGAACTTATCCATCTGGGTATGCATTCTTCAAAGAGTAATGTATTTACTTACAGATTATGGCTTTCGTATTTAGTGGGTCTCCAACATTCTCTCGATAATCTACGTTGATTACCAGTAACAAATGAAATCGAGAATTCAAGATTTGTTCACAAAATAAAAAATTTAGGGTTCTCGAGAAAAAGAATTGAACGAGCCATTTTAAACCCTAATAAAGATATAGATTAGATACTAAATAAAAGAGTAGATCCACACAAAAAGGATATAGGCATATTCTCTCTCTAGAAAATCTTGGAATTAAGAGAGAGAATGAAGGATTTATGCTCAAGTTTTCACGTTCTCCCACATGAATTCAATCATGCAACCATGGCCCATACACATTTGAGATTCCCAATTAAACATCACATTCACCAAATTTTGCATTTTGGTCCCTTTCGACCTTTCGACGTTCGTCTATCTGATCCTAAAAAATATCGATCATACTCGATCTTGTCTCTTTCTTCGGTTAAGTATGTTAAACTCGAACGAAGAAAATAAATCAAAAGTAGAAATAAGTCTGTGTTCGTTAAAATAGAGAGTAGGATCAAACTAATATTTTTTTTACGGGTTTTATTTTAAGCTTAAGATTCGAGATTCAAATCTCGATCGGACGTAAAAATATATATATAAATAAATAAAAAGGAAAAGAAATTGATGTGAATTTTGAAATGGGTTTGTCAAAAAAGAATCATCTTTGTAAGGGCCTACTTTTCAATAGTTCCTTCCTTCACACATAAACTTTGTCCATCTCTTTGGATTCCTTTGCAAAATATATATATGAATCAACAATTTCATTCAAACTAAACCTTTTGGGTCAATCTTTTTAAACCAAAGATTCAAAACTTTTAAAAGTAACCCATTATCGAGACACTCTTATTTCACCATATTTTGATTATACGGTCGTAATTGTAACAATCCAATCCCATTGTAAGTAGATATTGTTGTGTCGTCGTCAGCCTCACTGTTTTAAAACGCGTCACCCTTATGAGAAATGTTTCGTCTCATTCTCCAACTGGGATCTCGTAATAATAGCTATAAAATTAGATTCGTACTGGACTTTGTTTCTTTTCGTTTTTGAGGAGAACCTAGATTTTGATGATCGAGATTCCGACAACCATGATTGAAAATACAACAAACCTTCGAGAGCCCTTGTGTGCAACTAAGTCCTCCGACAAATCTCTCGATACTCGAATCGAAATTCACACCAAAGTGAGAGTGAAACACTTGTTACCCAAACCATTAAACGACCATTCTTTTCCACACATATTCAATCATTGTTCAAAGTTTTTCTTTTTTAGAAAAAAATAAATTATTTTAGGTAATATGGATGCTTACGTGGAGCACTTAAAAGAAAAGGAAAGGAAAAAAAATATTAAAATTTCTTTTTGGATTATAATTGGCAGACGACAAGACCAAAAGCAAAGACATTTCTTCGATGAATCGTAGAACGACAACAAATGGAATGGTCGACGACAATTAAAGCCATGACAGCGACTTCAACATTCAAAGCCCAACTACGTTAGTTGGGCCCAACTTACAAGACCTTTGGGCCTAGCCCAAATAATATTATATATTTAACATCAACTTACTGTACAGAGGAATCACTCTGCCCCATGGCTGATGGCTCAAACTACATTGTCTGGGTCTGAAGTTTTCATGATCAAGAAGCTTCATCAGAAGCTTTTCCACCCTCTTCGAGCTGCTGGTTGGTTTAACATCATGGGGACTGCCATAGGCCACACAAGGACCCTTCTCCGAGATCGAGTTCGAGTTCGAGTTCCTCACACACCAGGCACCCAGTGTGAACTGCCCCTTCGCCCTCTTTAAAAGTTCCTCGTCGATTCTGTTAAGTACTGAACTATTCTCAGCGAAGCTTCGTGCAAAAGGGAGACCACTTTGGACCATGTCGATGAAATGTTCGGACGTTAGATTAATCGGGTGTTGGTTTGGAGGATTGTCCCATTTCATATAATGCAAGTCTTGGTTCACCGTAGTGTTTTGGTAGTCTTTGTGGTTGCAAATGATAGTGTGGAAGTAACCCTCCGAGGAAGACAAGAAATTGGTGTAGTACATTAGGAGAGTGCGAGGGAGATTGTCCCATCCCCATATGCAAAATTCCAGAAATGGCTTCGTGAGAACCACCCATGAAGATCCTGGCAATAAGCTTTCAATATCAGAGTATATTAGTTTGTGTTAGGAACTACGGACCTCCACAATGATATGATATTGTCCACTTTGAGCATAAGTTCTCGTGGTTTTACTTCTGATTTTCCCATGAGACTTCATATCAATATAGATGTATTCTTTACTTGTAGATCCATGATCAACCTCTTAATTAATCGATATGGGATTCCTCTCCCAACAATTCTCAACAATCCTTCCCTCGAACAAAGTAGGCCATAGAGCCTCCCCAATGGCCTATGGTGCCCTCAACAGCTTCCCCTTAATCGAGACTTAACTCCTTCTCTGGAGCCCTTGAACAAAGTACAACCTTTGTTCGACAGTTGAGTCACTTTTGACTACACCTTCGAGGCTAATAACTTCTTTGTTCGACACTTGAGAATTCGATTAGCATTGCTAAGTTAAGAGCATGACTCCGATACCATGTTGATATTGTCCACTTGTTTCTGGTTTCCCCAAAAGGCTTCATGCCAATAGAAATGTATTCCTTACTCGTGATGAACCCCTTAGTTAGCCGATGTGGGACTCCTCTCCCAACCATTCTCAAAATACTTTGAAGAATATCTAAATCAAATGTTCAAACTTCTAAATTTTATGTCACCCGATGAAAACCAGAAATCTGCTAATGTCTAGAATTCTCCATCTCATTGACTCGAGTCTAGCACGGTTAATATCTCATCGAACACTATTATGATTGAAATGTCAGGAATAGCAAACCAACCAAATGGTGGATGAAAAATGTTGTATAGGATTATAGGAACAGCCTTACCTGTAAATAGCTTGAACGACGACGGTATCGACCTTCGCTCTTTTGCCCAAAACACTCCAGATTTCTTTGCATGATATAAGCCAGGATCTATAATTATAGTCTTTGCTCCCAAGTCCCTAGATCAGTCATGAAACAATTTAGATAATAATGTTCATATCCAAAGGGATATTTGTGAATAGCGATGCAATGCGAGGAGCGGGCTTACTCTTTCCAACCAAGATTACTTGAGTGCTCAACGAAGTTCAAATCCCTTGGCAAGAAGGAGAATACATGCAGAAGATCTGGAACACAAACATATGATCAGTTGAATGAATCACACTGCAAATTCAATTCTTCCTCCTAAAGATCAGAGATGACAGAAAAACAAGGATTTATGAGTTCTTGCAACATGATTTTACAAATCTGCAGCCAGAACAGAACAGTTCAGTTGAACTTTCTTCAAATTTTTGGGAAGGTAATGCAACTAGCGAGCAAGATCATAACATGTATCCTAAAATCTAGAAACTGAATGATATATGAGTTTTTGAAAATATAGCCACAGATAATCAAGAATCAAGTCAGCAACAGTTTAAACAGATCGGAGCTGATAGAAGATCATATGATACCAAGAGAAATTTCTCTAATTCAAGTGAGGACATATCTAAAGCAACAAGATCTCAACTAGATTATGAATTGAACACCAAGAACTCATGAGCTAAAGAAACTACCGTCTTGCGAGACCAGAGGATAATCAGAGGCGCTGAGATTAATGAACCAATCCCAATCTTTAGCGCGATTCAGCAATATCGCAATCGCCTGAAGCGTAGAAGCAATCATAGTTGGACCTTTATCAGTGATCAAATTGGCCTTTCCCACAACCATCACATTCCTGAACTCTCTCAATACGCTCTCCGACTTCACGTATTTCGCTAGTTCGAGTCTCTCGGAATCCGAAGCTTCCAGATCAAGATGTAGCAGATAGTAGTTCCTCGGATGATATGCCGCCTGAAGAAGCCGCCTCATCGATCCGCCATCTCCTTTCGTTCCTGATATCAAATACGCAAATCTCGGCAATGGCGGAAGCCCTAACTCCAGCCTTTCATTGTCATTGGAGTCTAGTACGACTCTCGTTGCGCCATGGGAAGAAGATTTAGGGTACACGGAAGTAACAATCAGAAAGAGCAAGAAAAATACAGCCAATGGCATCAGCCATTTCCGATCTGGATAATACGGATTGTGATTCTTCTTCATTTGAACTTCCTAATATCAATTTGGAATGCGATATCTGAAGACGAACTGATGCAAATTGGTTGCCCGGAGCTTAAACCCTAAACCTCGATCTGAAGTTGCAACTCAGAGTAACCTGAATCGAATTGTTGAACTTGAACCCAAGTAGATGAAAATTGCTACGGTTTTTCATGGCTTTATGGGTGAATTTGAAGATTTTGATGCTTGAGAAAAAGGTCGGAAGGTGAAAGTGTGCTGTCGGCGGCGATGGTCAGTGGAAGAATCCGTTGATGTAAAATAAAATTGAAGAGGGAAAAATATTACCTTCGAACGAAATTTAAAATGTCCGTCGCACAATATTGTACTTCATTCGAGCATTTAATTTCCATGTAAAAAATATGTTGACTTTATTAATTTTATGAAAAAATTTGATAAAACAACTTTGACTTTGACTTTCAATTTTCTTGTTCAAAAGATCGGATGATCGGTTTAGTTCGATCTAATTCAATCCAGTTTAGGTCTAACACTCTTATAAAGTTATGTTTTGTTCTCCACTCCAACCCAATCAACCTCTTGAGAGTCTAACGTCTTCGCTCGCACACTGCGTCTCCAACTGATGTGGGATCTCACAATCTACCCCTAGGGCTCAACGTCTTCGTTGGCACAATTGAGTGTCTAGCTCGGGTACCATTTGTAATAGCTCAAGCTCACCGTCAGTAGATATTGTCCTATTTGGACTTTCCCTTACGAACTTCCCCTCAAAGTTTTAAAACTCGTTTACTAGAGAGAGATTTTCATATTTTTGTAAGAAATGTTTTGTTTCTCGCTCCAACCGAGTAGAGTCTCACAATCCACCCTCTCTTGGGCGCCCAACGTCCTCACTTGTACATTGGGCCACCAACTGATATGGGATCTCACATGTTACCCGCCACTGTACTAAATATATGTGATTAAGTTATCGTGCTCCAAAGATAGGAAAGCAACCACATTGACAACATGAACACAAAACTGGGAACCTTAGCGAGATCAAATTAGATTATATCAACCGATTTGAAAATTTATATCTAACGATATTGATTAATTAAAATAAATAATAGGAATTATCTAAATAATAAAGTTAGAAATATTCCAACATTTTCAATGGTATGTATTCAATAAGAGAAATTATATGTTGGCATTTATGATTAATTAAAGCTAAAGTGGAAAATGATATATAATATCAACACGTGTAACACCAAGAAAAACAGCCTTTTGCGATTTGGATTGAATCAAATTCAATCCAAATTTCAAAATTATATGAAATGGGGACCCATTTAATTGGAATTTTTCTACAAAATTTCACGAAATCGAGACGAGTTCTGGAAATAATTTTCTATGTGGTTCGATTTTGCAGCAATCGGACCTCTCTACGTCGAAAGAAGAAGAAGATTTTTCAAACTAAATTGCCGGCATCCGGCAGACCTTGCTGGTAATCGTCGTTCCTAGAAGCCGCTGGTCGCGGCGGTGCTCGGTTGTTAATCGGCCGTTTAACGGCGATGGCGACGGTGGCGCGACAAACAGGGCAATTGGGGTGAGAATAGAGCCACATATCGATGCAATCTACATGAAAAGAGTGTTTACAGGCGGCGAGTTGCCGGACCTTCTCGCCGTCGACGAACGCCGATAGGCACACAGGACACTCGTTGCCGACTTCCTTACCGTGCTCGTCCTTGTTGTACTTAACAGCCGCCGCCACGTCATTAGAAATACGATTCACAGCCACCACGGTGACGGCGGTGCCGGATAGCCTGGCGGATCTCCGCGGCCAGAGGCGGAGGAGATTGGGGGAACACTTGATGGCGATGAAGAAGGAGTAGACAAGAGCAGGGATGATGATGACAGCGACGAGGGCGAGGATGAACTCGATTGGAGAGAAAGCAACGGTCCGACGAGGGGAGGGGAACGGCGGCGTTGGTCGATTCATCACGGTGGTGCTGACGTCCATGGTGGAGGAGAGGTGGGAGGGGATTTTTATCATGTAGGAGCATAATTAGAAAATTGGAATTTTTATTATTTTTATTTGGATTTGTTGGATTATTGTTTGATAATGATTTTTCTTTAATTTTGTCCTAACAAAATATATAAAAAAAATGAATTTTATCACTCATCAACCAATCATCTCAACTCTTTTTTTTTTTTATGATAATGTTTAAAATAATAGCTAAATTAATATAAATATCCAACTTTTTCATTTTTTTTAAATACTTAAATTTTTTTAAAATTTAAAAAATACGCTTAAACTTCGAATATTTTTCAAAAAAGAAATATTTTAATTATAATAAAATGTATGTTAAAATATCATAATAAAAACATTTTCCTAATACAATAATTATTTATTAATTAGGTAATGGAAAATATTTAGTTAATAAGGATTGGGAAAGCAATAATAGAGGGATTGTGGATACCCTCATGGTGATGGCTATGCACTTTACCTGCTTTATCGTTTATGCAACTTGAAAATGTGGGCCACTGCCTCAGCCATTGACAACACATGGCTTTACCTTTTCCCATGGCCACGACCAACGTAGAGCACGCGTCGGTTTAGAAGTTGGTGGTTCAAATCTTTGTTTAGATCCACGATCTTAGCTGAAGCTTAGTTCAACAAATAAGATAGATGTTAGGTACTTTACAATCGAGTTATGTTAATGATATAAACCGTTTCTAATCATACTCTTGCTCGATGAAATTCAAGTGGTTGAGTTAACATAGAACGATATCAGTTCACATGTTAATGCAACAGCTTACGACATTGTAAGATCCTGACAAGGATCTTGTCTACCTCGAGATTTACATCCAACAACATGGGAGATTCACAAGCACTTCTTCTTAGCAGTAGAAATGGATACGATTCTCAGAACACAGCAAGAAGAATAAGAGGCTAACATTACTGAAATTTATGAACATTATGCAGCCATATTTGCCAGAAGATTTCAAGTAGTATCATTTTCTTTCTCTTTTTTCAGAACGAGATCTGATACGAACAGAAAGTTCGATGCAAACCGGGTACCCTTCGACATTCTGTAATGAACTGAATGCAGATATGGGAACATAAGCAGTAGATGTAAAGAAGGGATAAGTTTCAGTATTGATATTAACCAAATGATCATCCATTTTCAAGAATCATGACTATGATGATCGTCGGGTTCTATCAATATGACACCGGATGCATAAGACGAAAATCGAAAAGAAAAATGTGACAAGCAGATTGAGGTTCATAAAATTCTATCTTGTGGTATACGTTAGTAAACCGACCATGCATCGACGATGCCAACAAGACAACAAACTTTAAAGAAGTGCCTACCTCAACTTAACATTAGATTTGACTCCCAGGAGTGGTCGAAGGCAAACATGGACCTCGTGTTCTTCCGAACCTTCCCGGAGTTTGGGGACCATAATCTCAAGAATGGACCCAGGTCCATCATAGTATGCTTCAATGTTAGCATCTTCAGGAATTCGAGTCAGAAGAGGAATTTCTCTCACGAATTCACCAGGAGGACAGTGTTCGGGATACGAATCTAAAAGCTTGAAAGTTCTATCGTGCCTCTTGATGAACGGCATACAAGATGTGCTCACACAAGAAACCTTTATAATACCATGTGTGAGCGTATTCCTCCACGAAACTTTGACACTTTGTAGATCGACAAAGGGCAAACTGATGATTATTAAATAACCCTCACTGTCTTCATATATCGTCTTTGCAGCTGTAACAGGCCCGTTAATGTTCTTCATAACTCCGCTAAAGTCGTTCAACCACTGCAGACCATTCAAGTGCTTGTCCATATCTGAAACCCAGTTGGGAGGATTGACTGTCAACACGCTATCATCGTCGTTCATATTAGGAGATGAACTCTTCCTCCTCTTGCTGGTAACAGGAGATGAATCCATCATATCATAGCTGTTGTGGTTAGACAAATGTAGTGTTGATCCATTGAGCAATTTCTTTGGTGGAGGATTTGAAGCACTTTTGACAGAAGGAACTGGCCTCTCAAGTTCAAAATCGGGGCAAGGAAGGTTCCTCCATGAGCTAAAACCGCTCGCTTCAGGTGGGATGACGAAGTTTAAGTCTCGACCCGTTAGTTCTACCCATCTCTTCTGTAGATCTTCGTCGAGCGACATTAGATTGGGAGACTTAACAACCTCGATCCCATGTACACACTGAGGATTTGAGAGGCCCCTGTAATGCTTTCGTTGCATTCGGTGTGATCGAACGAAACCTTTTTCAGCACCGAATGGGAAGGCAGGCTCGCCTTGGCGAGAATGCCCGTTCATATAACTTCTAAGCTGCATTTTACCTAATGCATTCTCAGGCCTCTCCTTGAAAGCCCACATGTACATGTTCTCCATGTCATGTTGGACCATGAAAACATCAATCTTAAGATCCGACTTCTCAAATCCCGAAACACCGTTGCTATCACGGGTAATCTTAGCCTTCGATTTCTCGTTTAACACAGGCTTGAAGTAGAAACTAAAGAAAAACCAAGCGCCCCAGATGCTGTCAACACGCTTGGTGCATTTTCGAACAACCTTCGGAACAGTTAAAAAAGTTTCGGTCTCATAAACTTGTGAAGAAGCAAGCCCAACATCTAACATGTTACAATGATCAGAATTCCATGGCTGCAGAGTGTAGCTGCAATCAGTTGACAATGGTAAGTTTATATCAGGAGGACGGGGAAGAGCGATCTGTCTGTTCATTTCCAAATCCAGTTCTTCGTGAGACGAGGCACTCGAATCCATGAATAGAAGAGTAGATGGGTGATGATTCTCAAGTGAAAGGGCTGTGAGGAGAGAATCTCCCATTTCAGTTCATCTCTTATGAACTCATATTTGTCTCTGGGAAGTTGAATAGGAAAAAAGGGAAAGAAAAAGAAAACACCGACTGAAGAAAATAACCCTGTAAACACTCTGATGATGTCAATCCCCAGTGTATCTTCCCTCCATCAAAACCCTAGATTTTCCAATCAGAGAACAAATTACTCACAATCTCAACGATTCAAAAAGGAACAAACAATCCCAACGAAAACAGATAAATCGAAACAACAAATCCAAATGTTCGATTAAAACAGCCACTTCTCAATCGCCAATACACTAAATCGGATAGAAATCTTCCTAAAAACGCCCTAAATCACTCAGAAACGCCGATTTCAGATCCAAATATGAAAAAAAACCAAATCGAATCCATCACAGAAATCAACGATTAACCAATGAACAAGAAAATCTAAACAAAACCTAGAAATCGGACATACCTTTTGGGATAAGCATCGGGAAATCGAGAGGTAGAAGGGCCTCCAAAACCGACAAGAACTTTCATCTCCATCGTATCGTCAACAACCATCCCTGAAATCGCTCAGTTCTTCGATTTCTTCTTCTTGTTCCCCCTTCTTCCTGTCGTAAAAACCAGAGAAAAATGGAACAAATCAGGGCTGCGGCAGGGTAGAATGAAAAGGGGGCGAGGGATTTTGGAGTCAAATGCCGCAACCTCGTTTTAAAGGAGAAAATTCGAGGGTCAAAACCAAAACTACAGCACAGCCCACTTTGAACAATGGCTGTTGCCATCGCATTCTCCCCTTTTTAAATAACAACAAAACATTTCCCAAAGTTTAAACAACAAGATCATCACTTCCAACAAAGTGATTTGGAGTTTGTTATTTAGTTACAGATTCATTTAAGGAAAAGGTAAAGATTTATATTAAGCACTCTAAAAGTGCACAACATTATTACACGACAACACCCATCCAATCACTCCAAACCATACAAATTAGTGGAACAAGACGTTGATTACGTTCTAAGCTCTACGCCCATACCCACCCAATCATATTAAAATCTTCAATCTTTCTTAATATTCTTTTAATACTTAATCTCCACTGAATTAAAATAATCACCTTTTATTTAATTCTTAAACTTTAGTGGTATGAACTTTCAAAACATAAGTTTCTTAAATTATCAAGCAAAATATTGTTAATTTGATTAATTAAATGATCATATTCGTTGAGCTAGTTTTTACCTTGGCAATGGACAATCAAAATACGATATATAAATGAAATTTATTAATAATTTATTTTTTAATGACAAACGTAACGTGTTACTAATTAAGTTAAAGTTATTCGTTTATGGCCCACTGCCTTTCATTTCTCATAAGTAATGATGATAAGTATATTAAAATAATTAATGTGCTTAATTATTCATATTAATGGAGCATTATATTAAGCTTAGTCTACCTCTCAATAATGTCTTGGTGGTCCATTATAATAATTTTGACAATAACATGTTACTCAACCTAATGTTTACTTATATAAATCTTTGTATTTTTCTTCTTATTCCTATCCCTTATTGAATTATTAATCTCCATGTATTATTGAATGACACCCATTGATTTCAAATTATAATTGTCTAAAATTGATGTTGTGTTTTAAATTGAAATCAATACAATTTCAAGAGAAAATAAAATATAAAGACTTTACACGTTGGCCCGAAGAATGCCTCCATTCCTTTATCTTCTCTTCCGAGAGAGGTAGAATTCGATAGAATTCGTAAAAAAAACTTCGATAGAACGATAGTTTTTCACTTTTGAACGATCGACCCCCTTCCTGGGCTGAGGCCTCCAGTAATGGGTTCTAAGAAGGAAGACCCGCCTGGAATCAATCAATAAGCCTTTTGATTTGATTGAAAAGATGATGATTATTTATTAGCTTATCGAGCATATCAAGAGATTTAGTCAGTTCATAACACATACACGAACCTTCACAAATAGTGTAAAGGCAGGCACCACGGGCTTAGCCATCTGCACGGCGGTGCGCACAAGTGTGCGCTCTCACTGTGCAATGAACCCAGATGGGGATCAACGTGAGGACAATTTCCATGTTATTACCTACAACATGCTAATGAACAGACTCAAAATTTCCCTGTTATTATCTAACCAACGTGAGTTCTAATTTTTACCCAACATCAAAATGGTAACGTTACCATTTGGATT